ATTTGGATAGTATTCTTCTTCTTCTTCTCTTTTTTTTTTTCTTTCTTTCTTTTTTTCTTCTTCTTCTTCTTGTATTTCTTTTTTTTCTTTTCTTTTCTTTTTTGCTGATATTTAACAAAAAGGATTTTTTATGGTTTCCTATTTCCAGATAACTATACAGGAAGAATAGGGCAAAATTCAATAACACACACAAACACACACACGCACACACACACATACACACACATACACACACACACACACACACACACACACACACACACACACACACACACACACACACACACACACACACACACACACACACATACATTTACACACACATTTACACACACTTACACACATACATTTGCGCACACTTGCACACAGAAAAAATGACTGCAATAATGAATGCTTGTTTCTTGACTTTCTTCCTCAGTTTGTGCTTTAGTGTCAAGAAAACGTTTTAGCCTAAAGAATGGGTCAGTGCACAAGTGGGGAGCTCCCCCCAGCCAACCAAGATGCCGTTGATGGGGAAATAGGTGAGGAACTTTATCTTTTTGTTTCTTTTTTTTATGAAAATGTTTTAAAAAATCTTTGCATTGTCTTTTTTTTTTTTTCACACTTGAGGTTCACATGTGAGTTAACCCTTTTTGTATTTCTAATTAGTTACGGCTTATAAGAAGAGTGATATGGGATTTATAAGTTCACCTATCCACATTATTTTGTTGCAGTCACTGAACGGCGTTTGTCGCTAGCGGAGAACATCTCTGAGAAGGCCTCGAACCGGAAGTTCCTGCGGCGTCGTTCTTCTACAACATCATGGGTCAGCTCCAAATTCGGCAGGGGGCGGAAGGCCAGGGACTTGTCGGCTGCTTTCAATCTGTTGGACTATGATGCGAAGGTGAGTTAAGCCTTCTTTTGGGAAGGAGATTTGGCAGTAAAAAGATAAGTGTACAAGTGTATATATAAACACTCATATATGTATTTATATATATGACTATATATTTATATTTATTATAAATTATATTATATATATTATATATATTATTATATATTTATATATATATTCAGATGAGGAATTTCTAACCTGGTCCTCTTTGAGATAAATTCCAGCTATATTTTCTTTTTCTGTTGTTTTCTCGTTCATCTTTTCATGTTTATTTGTTGAATTGGTTTTAACATTCTGTTATATCCTCTCATTACTTATTTTATAGTCTGGAGTTATGTTAACATATAAATGAGACTTTAGAACTGAAATTATGTGCAGTGGTCCCCCTTCCCCCAACAACTAGTATTTGACCTTGCTTTCATTTTATTGAGTAATGTTTTATCTCCCCTCATCACCAAAAGATTAATTTGGTGAACATCAATACCGCCCCAGAGGAAGAGCTCATGACTCTCCCTGGAGTGTCGAGGTCAGTGGCTAAAAATATTGTCGATTACCGCAATACAATTGGGGGCTTCCGGAGAGTCGAAGATCTGGCGCTAGTGTCGGGCATTGGTGCCAACAAGCTGCAGAATTTTAAAAATGAAATCACCGTCAAAAAGAAATCTTCCAGGTAAGATTTTATGTGTGTGTGTGTGTGTGTGTGTGTGTGTGCGTGCGTGTGGTGTGTGTGTGTGTGTGTGTGTGGTGTGTGTGTGTGTGTGTGTGTGGTGTGTGTGTGTGTGTGTGTGTGTGTGTGTGTGTGTGTGTGTGTGGTGTGTGTGTGTGTGTGTGTGTGTGTGTGTGTGTGTGTGTGTGTGTGTGTGTGTGTGTGTGTGTGTGTGTGTGTGTGTGTGTGTGTGTGTGTGTGTGTGTGTGTGTGTGTGTGTGTGTGTGTGTGGTGTGTGTGTGTGTGTGGTGTGTGTGTGTGTGTGTGTGTGTGTGGTGTGTGTGTGTGTGTGGTGTGTGTGTGTGTGTGTGTGTGTGTGGTGTGTGTGTGTGTGTGTGTGTGTGTGTGTGTGTGGTGTGTGTGTGTGTGTGTGTGGTGTGTGTGTGTGTGTGGTGTGTGTGTGTGTGTGTGGTGTGTGTGTGTGTGGTGTGTGTGTGTGTGTGTGGTGTGTGTGTGTGTGTGTGTGTGTGTGTGTGTGTGTGTGTGTGTGGTGTGTGTGTGTGTGTGTGGTGTGTGTGTGTGTGTGTGTGTGTGTGTGTGGTGTGTGTGTGTGTGTGTGTGTGTGTGTGTGGTGTGTGTGTGTGTGTGTGTGTGTGTGTGTGTGGTGTGTGTGTGTGTGTGTGTGTGTGTGTGTGTGTGGTGTGTGTGTGTGTGTGTGGTGTGTGTGTGTGTGTGTGGTGTGTGTGTGTGTGTGTGTGTGTGTGTGTGTGTGTGTGTGTGTGGTGTGTGTGTGTGTGTGTGTGTGGTGTGTGTGTGTGTGTGTGTGTGTGGTGTGTGTGTGTGTGTGGTGTGTGTGTGTGTGTGTGTGTGTGTGTGTGTGGTGTGTGTGTGTGTGTGGTGTGTGTGTGTGTGTGTGTGTGTGTGTGTGTGTGTGTGTGGTGTGTGTGTGTGTGTGTGTGTGTGTGTGTGGTGTGTGTGTGTGTGTGGTGTGTGTGTGTGTGTGGTGTGTGTGTGTGTGTGTGTGTGTGTGTGTGTGTGTGTGTGTGTGTGTGTGTGTGTGTGTGTGTGGTGTGTGTGTGTGTGTGTGTGTGTGTGGTGTGTGTGTGTGTGGTGTGTGTGTGTGTGTGTGTGTGTGTGGTGTGTGTGTGTGTGTGTGTGTGTGTGTGGTGTGTGTGTGTGTGTGTGGTGTGTGTGTGTGTGTGTGTGTGTGTGTGTGTGTGTGTGTGTGTGTGGTGTGTGTGTGTGTGTGTGTGTGTGTGTGTGGTGTGTGTGTGTGTGGTGTGTGTGTGTGTGTGTGTGTGGTGTGTGTGTGTGTGTGTGTGTGGTGTGTGTGTGTGTGTGTGTGTGTGTGTGTGTGTGTGGTGTGTGTGTGTGTGTGTGTGTGTGTGTGTGTGTGTGGTGTGTGTGTGTGTGTGTGTGTGTGTGTGTGTGTGGTGTGTGTGTGTGTGTGTGGTGTGTGTGTGTGTGTGTGTGTGTGTGTGTGTGTGTGTGTGTGTGTGTGTGTGTGTGTGTGTGTGTGTGTGGTGTGTGTGTGTGTGTGTGTGTGTGTGTGTGGTGTGTGTGTGTGTGTGTGGTGTGTGTGTGTGTGTGTGTGTGTGTGTGTGTGTGGTGTGTGTGTGTGTGTGTGTGTGTGTGTGTGTGTGTGTGTGTGTGTGTGCGTTTGAGCTCATGAACGTGCATGGGATGAATCAAGAAATGGCAGCTAATATTGTTGAACACAGGTGAGGCATATTTTTCACGATGATGATTATCATAATTTTTTTTATTTTTTTCTCATCATTATTATTGTTGTTATTGTTATTAGGTATGATTATTATAATTGGTATAATAATATTATTGGTAATAGTTTTGTGTTAGTATCATCAGTATTTTAATTTTTTAATTTTATTTCATGTTTGTTCTAACTAATGCTAATTTTGTTTGTAAAATTGAACAACACTGTTCATTGCAAGAAAAAAAAAGTGTGAAAGTGAACAAATGATGCAGTGCGAGAGATATGATAAAAAAACATTTTATTTATACCAATTGATGATTTATTCAGCTACATTTATTCAGTTACACTTTAGATGATGTGGAGCTGTCCAGTTTTCTATATACATTTTTCAACAAAATTAACTTTTTTTTTTTCTTTCTTTCTTTCTTTCTTTTTAGCAGTAGTAGTAATTTATCATTATAAACCAAGCATGCTAACCCCCCACCCTCTCCAACCCCTAGAGAGAGGAAAGGTCCCTTTAAAAGTATAGACGACTTGGTGAAGGTGAGAGGAATCAACAGCCGGGTCCTGAGCATCCTGAAGGTCTATCTGACACTCAACGATCTAACGCCTTCCTCGCCACCCCTGAGCGACGTCACCTCCGTCGCCAGCTACAGCAAGGTCTACCAGCGGAACCTCGACGGGAAGCTGTCAGGTGAGGCAGGGTTACCTTGGGCCTGTTTTACTCTTTGCTTTAGTTATCTTGTTTTTCAGGGTAGGAGGATGTATTTTGGATTTTCTTATATTTTTTTGGATGTGTTTGTTCTGTGGTATGGTTTGGTAGAAGAACAAAGCATAATTGTTTTGAGAAGATGTAAAGTAAGGGAAGCATTTCTGAATGTTTATAGATAGTTTTGTAGATCTTTTGTTCCAGTAGTAGTAGAATTTATTTAATATGCATATATAGATAGATAGATAGATAGATATAATAAGTTATGATAATTTTTGTACATTCCATTAAAGAAAATGAAACCCTAAAAAGGGAGAAAAGAAAATATATAATCAGAAATGCATTTGTATTTCATAATTTTGATAGAATTTGAAATGTATGTTTAGGGGGTGTGAAATATTTTTGTGTTTTCATGTTATAAATGTGTCCATGATAGTAATGATTGGTCAAACTATTGGCATATGATTGATTATTTATTAATATATAACAAGTCTTGGAATGCATTCTACATATGAGATGAAAAAGGAAGAAAGTAATCCAAGCACGTAGAATACCTTTGTCATTGCTACTTGTGTGATCCATCGAAAGCTGTCTTTCAGGGCACGCATCACCCTGTCATATTGTGTTTAGAAGGGTGCCGTACCTTCTTGACATTAAAGATTATAGAAGTAAGTTAACAAGAGTGAAGACCATTGAGAGTAAACTGCACATTGTTCCCTTATATTTGCTTTATTATTCTGCACTTTGTTTTTACATGGATATGTGGTACATAGAAGATTTTTGGGACAAAAGGAGTTAACATGTTATTGCTGCTTTGGATAACAGTGCACATCAAGCACACACCAAAGGCTTGTTTTTATGATGCACCTGTAATGTAGTACACGTATGTAGTGGTAATAGTGATAAACGTTTATTATATCCAACAGTGTATATTAGTATTGATGTACTTCACACTGATCTGTAAGTATGCAAAAATACAAGATGCTTTTGATACAGCTGTTAAGAATGACTACAGTATTATACATTATTAGTAAATGTGATTTGGGTACTGTTAGGTCTTCTTTTGTATATTTGGGTTGATGTTCCCTTAAAGAAAATTTATGGATGAAATTATAGTGATTAAAAAGTGTAAAGCTAGTGTACAAGGAATACACTTTGTTTCAGAATTTTTACTTACTTTTTCCATTATTTTTATGCAATTTTAGATCACTTGGAAAGTGTCATAGATGAAATGTGTATTGATATTTTATCCGAAAAGTTCTCTTGTAGTGTAATTTGTATCCAAGAAATCATATATAGTTCAGTTTCATCACAGCTTCACTAATTTTTTTTCATATACTTTTACAACAAAATTGTTAACCAGTTGCAAATAAGTTTGACAGCTTTTACTTCTTAATCACAACCCTTTCTGGTATTTCTTGAGATGCAAATTCAGTGTTTTATGTTTAGATAATTCTTTTATATGACACTTGTTATACTCATTTCTTGGTTTATGTGTAAAGAGGCAAAACACATATGCTGTCCATTTGGCAAGACTCAGATGAAAGCAAATTCTTTTCTTAATCCTTACCCATTCACCTGATACTGTAGTCTGATACTTCCAGTAGGCTTAGGAAAGTTTGTAGTACATATTCCACCTACATTCTTGGGTATTTACACTATTTGTTTATCATTTATAAGACACCATCGAACATGCTTTCACTATTAGTATTTGGTTCTAAGTGCCTAGTGTCACATGAAAGATCACTGGCCACCTCACCCACCTGCTTGAAATTCTTTGTGTATCTTTTTTTGATGTGTCTGTTTGTTGTCTAAACATAAACACAAAAAATAACAAACAAAGAGAAAGTAACTGAACAAGCAAAGGAGTAAGAATTTTTTATATGTAACTGTTTTTATATATAATTATTTATAATTGTTTTTAAGTAACACAATGGGACATATGTTTCAAGTGAATAAGTAGTATATATGTTATCCTTTTCTTTAGTTATTGAACTCTTTACTGCCAATGGGGATGAATTTGTTAACTGCAAGATGTGATATGGAACTCCTGAAGATTTTGCCTGCTTTTCCCAATTGATCTTTTTCTTTTAGTGTTTATGTTAAAAGTGCCTTGTGGTTCCTCCTACTTCTACTGGCACATAACTAATCATAGTTAATTCTGATGTGGTGCTGCACCAGGATTTATTTATTCCAACATCGTATCTCTTTGTAAGAATGGCCAGTATTCCAAGCAAATAGTAAAGCAACAAAAATAATGTATTTATACTAAGCATTTATAGTTTTATCTTATACATGGGAAATTATATCCATCATAGAAAATATATGTGTATTTACCCTTTCATGACAGAGTAGAAATTTGTTGAGTGCAACATGCACTGGGAAAGTTTAGCTTTGTGTGCAGTTGCCGACCAGGACATTGTCTGATATCTGATAGTGCATTCCGTCTCATGTACCAGTCTTACTAAGTGGCATGGTTTAGGAATAATAATTATTCCTTTCATTTGTGAGGAGTGTTGGCATCTCTCACTAGAACTGATAAGTGGATCACTAGCACTGTGGCAGTCATCAAAGTATTACATCAGAATGCTAGGCACTTGCTCTCATTTCTCTATGGGTTATCAGAGACTACCTGAAGCATCAGAAACTTCTGGCAAATGCATAATAAGCTATATCCTTGCATTTTGAGTCATTAACCCAATGGCGCCGGGTATTCAAAAGAAAAAAAAAACTCTACGCTTAAACAAACAAAGGTGGTGCACCGACTTTGAGCACGTGAGTAGGGGACATCAGCCCGAATCACTGGCTCGCTGTGCTTTGGCGCCGCCGGCTCGTTTGGCTGCACGCCAGCTTTCGAGCTCTTTGTTTACACGCCGATCGGCGTCACCCGGCACCAAGGGGTTAAAGAGCTCTATGGGCTTAGTACAACATACATCCACCTCAGGAGAACCAGAGGCTCAGAGGAATTCTGACAAAGATTGTTGTTTTATAGCAAGCTAATATACTGGTACTAAAGTGTTATGGGGGCATGCTTAGCCTGGGAATTTAGGAGTGAGGCTGGGTAAATCTGACATCAAATGTTAATGCAGTACAACACCAGGTAGGAAGGCCCCAATGCAAAAACTAGATTTATTGAAAATGAGACTAGTATCAACACGAAGAGTGTTTTACCATTCACAACACTAAGTATTACTAAGGTCACAGGCAATGACTTTTTCAATGATGCTGCAATCTTGTCAATGTCTCTGAACACTTGAGTGATTATTCTTGATTGACTGAGTGGTGAGATGAAGCCATTGGGCTATTAGACCCAGACCAAGGTCCAAGGCTTTGGGAGTCATTTAAGAGAGTCTGCTCTTTTGACTTGTGATTGTGGGCTCTCAGGCCAGAAATACAACAGACAGACAGGCTTGGTGGCATGAGCCATGAATTCTCTTAGAAGTTGTATTTAAAGATGCTGGTAAAGTGAAGAGGGACAGACCTTGCGTCTTCTAAACCCTGGAGGACGAGGTCCTTGCATCAGATCATGGAGATGCAGTTGACAGGACTGGGTACACTGA